AGTTTGTGTCTTGGCTGCTCTATTGGCAATCCAGTTCCCTGCTAATGGCCTGGAAAAGCAGCAGAGGATGGCTCAAGGCCTTGGGATCCTGCACTGGCATGGGAGACCTGAAGGAGTCTCCTGGCTTCTGATCAGTTCAGCTACAGCTGCTGTGGCCATTTGGGGAGTAAACCAGCAGATGGAAGATCTTTCTCAGTAAACATGTATTTTCAACAAAAACAAATCTTTAAGAAAAAAGTTTTTCTGGATCCCTTGTAATACAGCAGTCTGACCCACTGTTTGGGATGCCTGCACCTCACATTTGCATGTCACTTTGTCTTTAGCTACTCTGCTTCTGATTTAGTTTCATTCGTTCATCCTGGAAGACAGCTCATGGGTCACGTGCTTGGGCCCTTGATACCCAAGGGAGAGGCGGGAATTCCTGGTTTCTGGCTTTGGTCTGGTCCATTCCTATTAAAGGCATTTGGGCTGTGAACGAAAATGAGAAATCTCTGTCTTTAGCATCCTGCTTTTCAAGTAGATGAAAATAATACATGAACATTAAAAGAAAAAAACTAGAGGTTTTCTTTATCTTTCTTTGTCATTAAATAATTAGTACTTGGTCTTTTAGCATTTATCCAGGAAGGGGGTTGCTGAATTTTGAATCTGTGAATTGGTATTTTAAAATATAATTAGGAGGGCCCGGCGCGGTGGCGCAGTGGTTAAGGTCCTCGCCTTGCACGCCCGGGATCCCATATGGGCACCAGTTCTAATCCTGGCAGCCCCGCTTTCCATCCAGCTCCCTGCCTGTGGCCTGGGAAGGCAGTCGAGAATGGCCCAAAGCTTTGGGACCCGTGCACCCGCGAGGGAGACCCGGAAGAGTCTCCTGGCTTCGGATTGGCATAGCATCGACCGTTGCGCTCACTTGGGGAGTGAATCATCGGATGGAAGATCTTCCTCTCTGTCTCTCCTCTCTGTATATGTGCCTTTCCAGTAAAAATAAAATAAATCTTAAAAAAAAAAAATATATATATATATATATATATAATTAGGAGCCTGGCATGACAGCCTAGTGGCTAAAATCTTCGCCTTGTACACTCGGGATCCCATATGGGTGCTGGTTTGTGTCCTGGCTGCTCCACTTCCCATCTCCACTTGTGACCTGGGAAAGCAGGAAGGATGGCCCAAAGCCTTAGGATCCTGTACCTGTGTGGGAGACCTGAAAGATGCTCCAGACTCCTGGCTTCAGACTGGCTCAGTTCTAGCTATTGCAGCCACTTGGGGAGTGAACCAGAGGACGGTAGATAATTTTCTGTTTCTCCTTCTCTGTAAATATGCCCTTCCAATAAAAATAATAACTACATCTAAAATATATATATATATATACACACACATAATTATAGAAACTAAAAAACAGAAATAACCTGAATATTTGTATAGGATGTGCTATATCCAAAAATGAAACATTATTTGAGGATAAAAAGGCATGAGGTACTGATATGTGTTGCAATTTAAATGAACCTTGAAAAAAATGTAAGTGAAAGAAGACAGTCACAAAAAAATCCCACATATGGACGGCTCCATTTCCATGAAATGTCTGAGTGGATGAAAGCTACAGAAATAGAAAGTAGATTCTTGGTTGCCTAGGGCCAATGGAGATGCACAAATACAGGATGATTACTACTGGGTGCAGAATTCCCTTTGGGTTTGATGAAAATGTTCTGAACAGATTGTGAAGATAGGTACATAACTGTAAATATGCTGAAATCCATAAAACCATACACTCCAAAGGGTGAATAGCACAGTTTATGTATAAATAAATAGTTTTTTTATATTACTACGAAAAAAAAAAGCCAAGTCTTATCACTCAAAATTTTGGTTTTTTAAAAATACTATGTTTTGATCCAGGCGCAATAGAATAGTGGTTAAAGTTTTCTCCTTGCATGTGCCATGATTCCATAAGGTCACCGGTTCTAATCCCTGCGGCCTTGCTTCCCATCTAAATCCCTGCTTGTGTCCTGGGAAAGCAGTCGAGGACGGCCCAAAGCCTTGGGACCCTGCACCCACGTGGGAGACCCACAAGAGCTCCTGGCTCCTGGCTTTGGATTGGTTCAGCTCCAGCCGTTGCGGACACTCACAGAGTGAACCATCAGATGGAAGAGCTTCCTCTCTGTCTCTCCTCTCCTCTATATGTCTGCCTTTCCAATAAAAATAAATAAATCTTTAAAAAAAACTATGTTTCATATTTCACAATTTCCTTATATTTATATGATTTTCAATTTATCTAAACATTTGAAAGATTTCTTTTATTCATTTGAATGGCAGAGTTAGAGTCATAGGAAGAGACAAAGAGATCTACTACCTGCTGGCTCCCTCCCCAAGTAGCCACACTGGCCAGGACCGAGCTAAGCCAAAACCAGGAGCCTGCAACTCTATCCCCATCTCCGACACAGACGGCAGAGACCCAAGCACTTGGGCCATCCTTCCCTGTTTCCCAAAGCAAATTGGTAAGGAACTTGGCAGGAACTAGAGCAGCCAGGACGTGAACTTGTGCATATATGAGATGCTAGCATCAGAGGTGGTGGCTTAGTCGGCTATGCCATGTTGCTGGCTCTCATGTGGGTCATTTTCTATTGCATTCCAAAATGGAATGCGGGCATCCCAAGTGGCGTACCCAATGCCTACTCCAAGAAGTCATTTCTTCTGGTGTAGAATCTCTCTTTTTCTTTGCATTAGCATATTAGACACTGGAGGACAGAGGAAGGCTCATGAGGAAACAGAATGGTCATCCTCACACTGGTTTCTGAGGAAAAGCCCTGAGACAGCTCTCAGTGTCCAAGAGAGCTCCAGGCTCCTGGCTTCGGATCAGCTCAGCTCTGGCCATTGTGGGAGTGAATTATCACACGAAAAATGTTCCTCTCTGTCGCTCTTCCTCCTCTCTGTATATCTGACTGACTTTGCAATAAAAACAAATAAATCTTAAAAAAAAAAAAAGATACTTTGGGGTAGGCATCGTGGTGCACTGGGTTAAGCTGCACTTGAGGCACCACATCTGAGTGCCAGGACTCATATCCCGATTCTGTTTCTGATCCAGCTTCCTGCTAGTGTAGACCTGACTGCCAGCAAATGAAGGCTCACATTCCTGGGAGAGCTGGATGGAGTGGCTGTCCCCCGACTCAGCCCAGCTCTGGCTGTGGTGAGCACCGGCACAGTGAATCAGCAGATGGGAGATGTCTCTCTTTATCACTGTCTGTTGCTCCACCTTTCAAAGAAATAAAAAAATATGGTACAGCTGAAGATGAACAGGATGTAGTTTCCAACTTTCAGAAATTCATAGCTGAGAGAGGAGATAAACACTAAAAATTAGGGGAAAAAAACCATTACACAATAAGAAATAATTAATATAATAGCGATAGTGGAGGTATTTACTCAAGTTCTTAGAGCCCAGGAACAAGATAAAATAAAGCTATTTAAGGCAAAAAGGGTAGATAACAGAAAGGTGGTTACAGCCTGCCTAAAAGAAAGAGGTTAGGTTTCTAGAACTTTAAATACAGACTTCATGTCAGTGCACGTGCACACACGTATCACATATTACAATATATTTATATGCAATTGGCTCTTTTCAATAATTAAAACTAATATTTAATCTCTCTTTGCCTCTCTTACCGTAAGTATAAAATAAAGTTTAGGCCACAGTGTTGTGTATAGGGGTTAAGATACAGTTCAGGAGCCCTATGCAGTAGCTTAGTGGCTAAATGCTTACCTTGTGTGCGTGTGGGATTGTATATGGGTGCCAGTTTGTGTCCCATCTGCTTTACTTCCCCTTGGGCTCCCTGCTTGTGGCCTGGGAGGGCAGTACAGGAAGGCTCGAGGCCTTAGGACCCAGTAACTGTGTGAGAGACCCAGAGGAAGCTCCTGGCTCCTGGCTTTGGATCAGCTCAGCTCTGGCCGTTGCTGAGTTGTTGAGTTACTTCGGGAGTGAACCAGCAGATGGAAGATCTTTCTCTCTGTCTCTCCTTCTTTCTGTAAATCTGCCTTTCCAATAAAAATAAATAAATCTTAAAAAGATAAAAAGATATAATTTAGGGTACTTGCATCCTATATCAGAATGCTGACTAAAATCAGTTCTACTTCTAACTCTAGCTCCCTGCTAAGGCACCCCTGGGAGGCAGCTGGGGATAGCTTATGTGGTCAAGGTCCTGCTGCCCAGGTGGGAGCCTGACTCTGGCTTAGCACAGCCCTAGTTGTTGCAGGCATTTGAGGAGTAAGCCAGTGGAGGGATGATCTCCAGCTCTGTGTCTTTCTCTGCCTTTCACATAAATAATTTTAAAATACAATAAAACTAAAAAGGATTCAGGTAAGATGAATTTGGAATTCCTCCCAGACACAAAATTATATAATTGTATTAGTCAAACTTTGGTCATTGTACAGATACCACATAAGAAAACTCAAGAGAGTAAAAAAATAATCCAGAACTACTAAAAAGGAGTTTTCTCATTAACTACTTTTTCTGGGAATTCAAAGTCTGAGAATAATACTCTATCTCTACCCAGAAAAAGGCCTAGCTTAGTGAAGAGTGTCAACTGGAATGTTATCAAACAAGCAGATCAGGAAGATGGCGGGACACAAAGCGTTCAGCATAGAGACGTTGCTCAGGCCATCAGGGAAACACACGGAAGATAAGAAGACAGGGACTTTTTATTCCTACGGCCAAGAAAAAGCTGGACTACAACACAAGCAGATATTAGAATTTACACTTCCTTAAAATCAAGTTGCGGTTGTTTGGGGGGTTTATCTTGCAGTCCTTTCTGAAGACCTATCTGTACATGTAAGCAGAGGTCAGTGAAGAAATTACAAAGGAAAGGGTCAAAATCCTAAATGCTCACAACTGAAAGAACCAGGAGGGATCCTACCTGGGAATTAACTTCCCCAAACATTGAGGAAACTCGATTTAACAGTGCAGACAGTGGTAAAGCACACAGACCTAATATGAAGACTCGAGCAAAAACTGTGCCTCTTACCCATCAATGATGTTCTCAGGTGGGTGTTTTTCATCACTGGATGTTGCTAACACCACTTCGGCCCCTTCAGAGCTCGAGCAGAGATCAACTCTTCTCATCGTAACGATTTTAATCTGCAAATTAAAAAACACTCAACTGAAACAGTAGTAGAGACTCAACTTTCTGATTCTCTGAACTTCACCTATGAGCGAGGGACAGCCTGTTGCCTGGCATACAGTAGAAAAAACAAGATGTTTACCTAAGTAAACCGACTTCTTCCAAGGAAGCCAGAGGGTTTGTTTCCCATGGCTCTGCTGTATAAACTAACTCCTTGACTACCCTGCCACTGTTTTTCTACTTCTAAAATTAAAAGTCTGCAGTAATTGTAAGGCAGTGCAAAATGAGTCAGTGGGCAAATTTTAAAAAGTTGTTTATAGTTATGTTTCCAAACCTTGAAGAAATCTGAAAGATAAAAAGATAATTGTGATCTGTTATTCACACATTATTCAAATGTCAAACAATACTATTTACATTTTAAAAGACACATTATCATCATCATTATTTTTTGAGCAGAAATATCAGATTAAGAGAAATGGTAACTTTGACTTAGCTTAGAATTCTCACCAGTCACTTGGGTCACGGACTTGAAACAAAGCTAAAAAAGTTATATCTATTTTTAAAATATATTTAAATATTAAATATTTAAAATATATCTTTAAGATAGCTATATAATTTTATTTGAATGGCAGATTTACAAAGAGAAGGAGAGAGAGACAGACAGAGATATCTTCCAAAAGTTGATTCATTCCCCAATGGCTACATAGGGCTAGAACTGAGCTGATCCAAAGCCAGGAGCCTGGAGCTTGTTCTTCTTCTGTTTTTTGTTGTAAAGTCAGACAGACAGAGAAGAGGAGAGACAGAGAGAAAGATCTTCCGTCCGATGATTCACTCCCCAAGTGACCACAATGGCCGGTACTGCGCCAATCTGAAGCCAGGAGCTCTTCTGGGTCTTCCACGTGGGTGCAGGGTCCCAAGGCTTTGGGCCGTCCTCAATTGCTTTCCCAGGCCACAAGCAGAGAGCTGGATGGGAAGTGGACAAGCAGGATATGAACCAGTCCATATGGGATCCCAGTGGATGTAAGCCAAGGATTTATCCACTAGGCTATTGCATCAGGCCCTGTAATTAATTTTCAAATAAAACTTTAAAAAAAAAAATTTAAAAAGAAACCTTTCACTGGGTCGCACCCTTCTTTGCCAAAAAGTAATACTTCCAGAGTATATATTTTATATTTTACCATGCATGTATCCTATATAAATAATATACACTTGTTCTTTTAAAATTGAGTTACTCGGGCCCTGGCGCGGTGGCGCAAGTGGTTAAGGTTCTCGCCTTGCACGCCCGGGATCCCATATGGGCACCGGTTCTAATCCCGGCAGCCCCACTTCCCTTCCAGCTCCCTGCCTGTGGCCTGGGAAAGCAGTCGAGGACGGCCCAAAGCTTTGGGACCCGTGCACCCGTGTGGGAGACCGGGAAGAGGCTCCTGGCTTCGGATCGGCATAGTATTGGCCATTGTGCTCACTTGGGGAGTGAATCATTGGACGGAAGATCTTCCTCTCTGTCTCTCCTCTCTGTATATCTGCCTTTCCAATGAAAAAATAATAAAAATAAATCTTTAAAAAAAAGTTGAGTTACTCCAGTGTGTATGTCCTTCTGGTATTTGTTTTCAATTAATGTTTCCTCTATCTTAATGAGCATGAATGTTTTCATCGGCCATGCTAATCATTTATGCTTTCTGGGACTGCTCTCAGTTATAGTGAGTTGAGGGGCTGGCACCATGGTCACAACAGGTTAATTCTCTGTCTGCAAGCACTGGGATCCCATATGGGCACCAGTTCTAGCTCCAGCTCCAGTTCCAATCCAGCTCTCTGCCTACGGCCTTGGGAAAGCAGGGGAGGATGGCCCAAGTCCTTGGGACTCTGTACCCACCTGGGAGACCTGGAAGAAACACCTGGCTCCTGGCTTTTGAATTGACTCAGCTCTGGCCATTCTGGCCATTTGGGGAGTGAACCAGCAGATGGAAGGTCTCTTTCTCTTTGTCTCTCCTTCTCTGTAAATCTGCCTTTCCAATAAAAACAAATATATCTTAAAAAAAAAAAAAGAATGAGTGCCTATGGACAACTAAAAGATTTGTAAAACCTAAAAGTATTCACTGCCTAATCTTTAGAAAAAAATTTTTTGCTGCCCCTTCATCTAGATATGCAAAACCTACAGGCTGACCACAAAATCGATGTGCTAGCTCTGCCTCAAGGCAAAGGAATGTCTCTCTCGGATTTCAGAATTGAGGCAGCAGCCCTGTCAACAATTTGTGGACACCAACCAGGGGGTCAGACACTGTGCAAAGATGAGCACAACCCAAGGGACTAATACTTGGTTCTTGCCAAGTTTAGAGACCAGGCTTGCAGCTAACAATTCAGCGTGCTGTGTGCTAAGATTCTGTTATCCCCAACAGGGTGCCGCATGTTATCCACCCCGACGCTGTGTCGTATCCCCACTCAGAATGCAGTGCCCTCTTTGGCGCAGAAGGTTTGAAGTTGGACACTGTTTCAGCCAGCCTGTTCAGGAGAGAATGTTCATGACAATCCGTCAACACGTTACGTGAAGAAAGTCAAGAGAAAATGGGATTGGATGGCTTCAAGGAAATAACAAGGAGAAACACGGCTACAATTTTCAATATGAGTAGTTCTCACAGAAGGAAAAAGTATTTGACATTTTACTGTTCCACGAGGGTAAACTGAACCCAACAAATATGATTGAAAGGGGAAGACTTCATAAATATAGAAACTTTTTTTTTCTAAGCAAAGTAGACTTTAAATCTTTTCCATCTCGGAAATCACCCAGGAAGAGTTAGGCAAAGAAAGGAGCCCTGCATGTGCAGTTCTTCCTGGCAAAGTCAAATTCTAGGAAAGGTGGACTGAAGAACTCTTTCCAGCAAGCTTGGAAACAAGAGACTTTAATCCCGTAGGCCAGGTCTGGGGGTGACTGCCCCCAACTCCTGCCTCAGGGGACATTTGGCCCTGTCTGGAATGGTTTATAGAGTCCCAACTGTAGCAGAAGATTGTGAGACACTGCCATCACAGGGCACCTCTCCCCCAATCAACACCTGGTCCCAAGCCGGAAAAGCAAGCAGTCAGTCACCCAGTTGGGAATGGGTACCTGGGGACTGGTGATTAGCCACAGAACTTCGTTTTAGCTGTATTTCAGAGAAACATGGCAGTGGATGAATAGGACTGCACGGCCAAGCCCTCAGCTATATTAATTCCCGTTCCTGATCTTCTTAAGCCTTGACCCAAAATTCATTTCATGCCTGCTAGATCCCACGTGGCTCGTTTATTTCCCAAGCAGGCAAAATGATGAAGTAACAAGAAACTTGGAGATCGGCTTCTAAGGCTCTTTTGTTACATACATTAGAAAGAGGCGACGCAGGCGCAGTGACCAGAGTGACTGAGGGAACACTAGGCCGGCAGGTGCCCACCCCGCCCTTTAGCTCACCAAGGGCAGTCCGGCTCCATCCCGGGGCCTCACCCGCCGGGGCCTCTGTTTACCAAGGGTACGCATTTCGGGTCGCCATTAGTCCTGCAGCTTACATCCTTGACTCTGGGCTTCGTTGACATCCCGTCCTCAACCCGGCCATTGATCTTACGGCCCCTTTTGAAAAGGGGTGCTTCTTTACGGAAACGTCTCGGGGTAGGACCTCAAGGGTCAGCCCCTCCTACAGCTGCAGTGCGCAGACCCTTCCCCCAGGAGGACATGCACGTAAATGAGAAAACAGTTACCCACGGTCTCCCCGTGACGTATCTCACCCTCCACCCCAACGAAATCTCCTCTTAAGGTCTTTTGAAGTCCCGGCCCCAGCAAGGTGAAACACAAGGGTGCGCCAGTGCCGATTTTCACAGTCATTCACGAGTATATGGGTTACGGTGTGACTCACTTCTTACACTTTGATAGTTTTTGTTTATCTTCGATTTGCAACTGGTTTTCTCTTTTGGGAGTTAACCACTCGGGCTGGCCCTGGCGAGTCCAGGGTGCAGGGACGGCAAGAGGCCCGTCTCCGTCCCCCGGCGCTCGCCAGGCGCGCCTCGGCCCGCGCGTCCCCTCACAGCGCCCCCGCACTGGCTCGCGCCCTCCCGCTCCCGCACGCGCCTCGGCCGGCCTCGCCCAGCGCAGCTCTGCCACCTACCCCGCCCCACCGACTCCGCCGGCCTGAGCCTCCCGTTAGCTGCGGGCGCGCACACAGCCAGGCTCCGGCTCTCCCGCGCGCCCCACCCCCGCCAACCCCCGCCTCACCCCCGGCCTCGCGCCTCCCGCCGCCGCCGAGTCCCCGGAGCGCGCCACGCCCTCCTCCCGGCCCGGTACCCCGCCCCTCCCGTAGGCCACGCCCCCGAGCGGTCCCGCCCAAGCGGCTTTCCCCAGGCCAGAGGCCGGGAGGAGCCAGGGGACCCGCCCCCGGGAGGGCACGCACGCGCAGTGCCCACCTCTGGCGGCTCTCAGGGCCTCGGCCTCGGGCACGGCCCCGCCTCCGGGCCCAGCCCCGCCCCTCGGGCCGGGTCCCGCGCACGCGCGCCTCCCCGCGCTGCCGGTCCCGCGGTCCCCCGGCGCCAGGTCGCCCCCGGCCCCCTCCCTCTCCGCTCCCTGCTCGCCTGCGTCTCACCCTCCTAGCTTTGTGCCCGGGGTGCCGAACTGCTGCTGGGTCCGCCACCGACGCTCTGCCGCTTGCTGCCCCTGGTAGGGGCACAGGTAGGTGGCGGCCGCGGGCCGGGCTGCGTGTGCGGGCGGGGTGTGAGGAAGGAGTGGTGGGGGAGGGGAGAGCCGAGGGACGGGGTCGGGGATGGGTGTGGGGGGTGTTGAGGGAGAATGAGGGTTGGGAGATGTAGTTCCAGGAGGGGTCGGGTGCCCAGGCCTGCTGCGGGGCTAGTAGAGAGCGTTAGGATTCGGGGCCGGGGTGGGAGCCGGATTAGCCCCGGTGAACTCGAGGAGGGGGCATGAGTGGCAGATTGCGAGAGGGTTTGGGGCGGAGGTTGCCGTCCTGGGGAAGGGAGTGGGATCCGAGCGTTGTCCGGAGAGGAGGCATAAGGATTGGCATAGGTGAGGGGTGGGGTTTGGGGGACTGGGAGGAAAAGAAGTTGGGTTTAGGAAGTTGGGTTTAGTGAGGCGTGAAGAGAGGTGGCTCTTGAGGGTTGAGGACCCCAGATTGGAAAAGGGTCGGAGAGACTCGGGGTGGGAAAAGAGGGAGAAAGGGTGGTGATGGAGAGGAGGGTGGCGTGTGCCGCTCTGTGGGGGAGGGGGCCTGATGGGGTTGGAACGGGTGGATGGTGGGGGAGCCACGTTTCAGGAGGGGCCCTGGGGAGTGGGAGGGCGTGAGTGTGGGAAGGCCTGGGACTCTGGGTGCCAGGGGTTGAAGTTCCTGAGTGGTGGCAAGTGTTGGGAGGAAAGTGGCTGGGCTTGTGGGGACCCCTCCCTGCCCGCCCCAGGAGAAGAAGGGCGGGTGAGATGGTAGGTGGGGAAGCTCAAGGTACTGGGAGAAGTGAGGAGGAAAAGAGAGTAATGGCAGAAATACCTAGGGCTTGAAGCTGAGTCGGAAGTTGGTTATGGCTACTGAGAAACTGCTTTTCGTGGAGGTTTTCATGTTAGAAAAATATTCTCAAGAATGCTGCATGTTTTAAGTAAGCCTTGGGGTGAAGGCTGTGGGGTGCCAGATGTTGTCCTGGTGGAGGGAGGCAAGGAGGCCTGGTCCAAGGGCCCTGGCCCTCTGCCCTCCAGCTCTTAGATGTCCTTTGCTGTGCCGTCCCTGTCCCCTGTCCCCACCAGCTGCAGACATTGAGTGTTGGAGGGATCCAAAAGGTGGATGAGATGAGTTTTAGCACCTTTGTCAACCCTTAAGATGTCATGATTTTATTCTATTTTTTTAAAATATTTATTTATTCTTATTGGAAAGTCAGATATACAGAGAGAAGCAGAAATGAAAGATCTTCCATCTGCTGATTCACCTCCCAAGTGGTCACAACGGCCGGAGCTGAGCCGATCTGAAGCCAGAAGCCTGGAGCTTCTTTCAGGTCTCCCATGCAGGTGCAGGGTCCCAAGGCTTTGGGCGGTCCTCTACTACTTTCCCAGGCCACAAGCAGAGAGCAGGATGGGAATTGGAACAGCCAGGCAGGAACCGATGCCCATATGGGATCCTGGTACATGCAAAGCAAGTATCCTAGCCACTAGGCCATTGCACTAGGCCCATGGCTTCATTCTTGAGAAACAGTGAAAGAGCTTTTGAGTTCTACAGGAACACAGCCCTGAGATTGGATGCTGGCCCTGCCATTTACCAGCTGTTCCTTTGTCCCGTGGTCCTCTGTCCATAGGATAGCTTTATAGACTGAAATGGAGCAAGAGATGGGCCACTTTGGCAACTGAACCAAAATAAATATTGTATCTTTGAAATATTTGTAGAGTTGAAAACTTGAGACTTGATGAGGTGACTTTGGGCCTCTTCGTGTGTTAAATGGCATTGCTGACCTGATAAGGATTGTTGAGGATTCCATGAGGTCGTTTTATGTAGTACCTGGCACAGTGCTTGGCAGCTGGGGGTACTGAATGAACAGTCACCAGCACATCCAGTTACCATCAGTAACTGTACTTGTTATTGTGACAAGTACTAGGACTTGATACCCTAAGCAAATTCTTCACTCGTTTTACATACTGAAGTTAGGTGCTTGCTTCTGGACTCTTCACTATGAACCCTGTTGCTTTTCCCTCCCTCAGTGCATCTGACATGAAGAGTCACGCTTTTGCTTGGTAAACTGGCCTTAGGGTTTAAAACACTGTCATGTTTTGTTATTATTTTATTCAAAGAGGCAGAGAACTGAGTGTTTTTATTCATGTAGTGAGGTTGTAATTATTTGATGAAATGATATGCCTGTGGTTCTTTCAGCTCACGTGTGGTGACTGAACACTAGATCATGTGCTGTTAGACCATTTCTCCATGATGTTACGTGTAGGTTACATAGCCGCCTCTCTGTAGTGACTTGGGAGCCAGAATGCCTCTCCCTCATTGGGTCCAGTATAGAATGTAGCTGCCGTAGATTGACACTGGACATTGTTGGTCTTGGAAATACTAATTTAATTTTTAGTTGTATATGGACTTTTGCCGTCGATACAATAAGCCTTGTCTCCTCAACACAGTTTATGATAGATCACCCTGTGTAATAGCCAGGGACAAGCAAAGCCAAGCACAAAAGCTTAGCACTTTGATGGTCCTTAATCTTGAAGAGTTTAAACATTAATTTATGCCTTAGATCATTTTGTATTGCTTCCTAAACACTCAGGAAGCCTCTTGGGGAGAATGTAGGCTAGAGAAACTTAAAGTAGAAATCAAAAGTTACCAGGACTCTGAACTGCAGTACCATGGTTGTTTAAGAACAAAGAAGCCTTGGACTTCTGGACAGATGGTATAGCTTTGCGTTTCAGGAATTTTGGATATTTTCCCCCCTATATTTGATGAGTCATCAAAAAATAAAATGTATCTGTGACTGTGTCCCGTTTTTTCAGGAAATAAGCGCTGGAAGTCAAAGCTGCCAGGTTTGGGGGCAGTCTGAGTTAGTGTCCTTCTGCGGCCTCAATTTGCTTACGCCCTCTGCTGGGAGGAATCAGGCTCCCCCACTGCTCATAGCCTGTCCTTCTGTTCAGTTTGTGGAAAGCACTGCTGGGGCTCAGGGTTAGGAGAAATATGGATAAATAGACCCTGTTTCATTGCTCGGAGATCTCACAGTGTGCCATTCTGTTGTACTTTAAATTCCACAGAATTTGTCCCTTAAAGTCAAATCATTCCCATTTAGGGCCATCACTTGGGAATGGCTCTGAGAGCCCCATCAGAGGGATAAAGGTCGAAGGAGAGCTGCTTTATCTTCTTGTCAAGGTCTATGATGTTGAAAGGGCCAAAGGCTTACCCTATGGGAGAGCTTTGAGTGGGGTGTCTCCTTAGTAGCAGACATGAATGCTGGCAAGAGAGGGATGTGGGTCCTAAGAGCTGGTACTGTGACAGGTTTCTTTCTCCTTCTGTATTTGAGTCCTGTCCCCTTCCTCCACCATCATCTGCTCTGCTTCTACCACCTGCAGAAGGCGCTGGCAAGTGGGGGAGGAACCTGCAACTGTTGCCTGGAAAGGAGGCTGGCTCCTAGCAACAGTGTCAGCAGGCCTGCTACTCAGCAGTCTGTCCCCTTTATGTCTCACCCTCCCTCTTCCTCAGTCCAGCAAATATCTTCTGGGGGAAAACTCATATCTAGGCATTATGCCTGGCCTGGAGAAGAGAGAAAAAGCTTTGGAAACATTAGCAAGTGAACACACAAACAGTACGCAGTGCTGCATGCTGTGTAGGAGAGTCTGGATAAAGACCAGATAGACATGCTATGGTATAGAGCTGGGGAAGATTTTTGAGGAGTAGGAACATGGATGAGGGAAGTGTTAATGGTAAGCAGGCATTAGCCAGGTCAGGGAGCCAGAGAAGGATTTCCAGCCAGTGGAAGCAGACTGAGCGAAGGCCAGTGGGACAAGAGCATGAGACTATGGGTGGAGAGCATGGGATGTAAGAAGATGAATGGGAAAAGATGAGGATCCAGGGTTAGACAGGGCCCTCTCTTCCCATGTGCTTTTACACAGGTAATTATCCTCGGGAAAAACAGTTCCCACAAACAAGCTCATCGTTGGATCTCCAGAGACTCACCGGCTGCATTGTCTGCTGACATGTCGGGCCCTTTGTTGAAGCAGAGAAGCTGAGTGGTTTTAGTCTAAAAGCCAGTCAGGTTTTTTAGGGATAGCATCAGAGTCTCGTAGAAATACCAGCATATGTTTTTTACCTGTCTTCTCTTTTAACTTGGATGGAAATGATAACCAAGGCTGCTGTTATACAGTAGGTTAAGTTGCTGCTTGGGACTCCTACATCCCCCAGGAGTCCCAGCTACTCTACTTCCAGTCCAGCTTCCTGCTAATGTGCCTGGGAAGGCAGTGTTGGCCCAAGTAGTTGGGCAATTGCCACCCATGTAGGAAACTTAGATGGAGTGCCAGGCTTCTGGCTTTGACCTGCTTGGGTCCCAGCTGTTGTAGGTATTTGGGGAGCGAATCACCAGATGGAAGATGTCTCAATTTTTCTCTCTCTCTCTCTCTCTCTTTTTCTCTCTCTTTCTCCTTCCCTCCCTCCTTCTCTCTTTCTCTGCCCCTTCTCTGTGATGCTAGAAAGCCTTTCAAATAAATGAATATGTTCTTTTAAAGATTTATTTGTTTTTCTTGGAAAGACAAATCTGCATAGAAAAGGAGAGACAGAAAAAAAGATCTTCCATTCACTAGTTCACTTCTCAAATGGCCTAAATGGCTGGAGCTGAACCATTCTGAAGCTAGGAGCTTCTTCTGGGTCTCCTATACAGGTGTGGGGTCCAAGGACTTGGACCACCCTCAGTTGTTTTCCCAGGCCACAAGTAGGGAGCTGGATGGGAAGTGGAGCAGCCAGGATATGAATCCAACCCATATAGGGTCAAGGATTTAGCCACTGGGCCATCATGCTGGGCCCCAAATAAATTAACCTTTAAAAAAAATACCACTTTTATTAATATAGCAATTTCTCATGTATTTTGAAATTTCACAGTTACCCAGGAGAAAAAGTATTCCAGTTCTTGGGCATCTACTGTCACCCATGTGATTGCAGAAATACCCACTGTTCTGTTCTTGTTTGCTTCAAATTCTTTTCCTTACCTCAAACGTGCTCTGATAAAACCTTAATAGACCAGATACTTCCAAGGGTAGGAAGGGCTTTAATTCACTCTTTTGATGGAGGCTTTAATTTATAAATCCAAAAACTGGCATGCCTTATGGCCCATGGGAAGGTAAGACTTAGCAAATGAATAAACGTTAGTTCCACAAATAATCAGTTCAGAGACTATAGCCTACCAGAGCACTGTGTTAGGGTATCTGTATGGATTAAACATTGTATGTCCTCTCAGGAAACTGCAAGCAGCAGAAGGCAGGCCCAGAAGCAAACCAGTAGCAAGACAATAAGCCGAGTACAATAAAGAAGTAGGTAAAAGATGCCAAGCTAGGGAGGGAATTGCTTATTTCTAGTCTTAAAATTGACAGTTTTAGTGTCTTTGTCATATTCTGTGGTAGGGAGGGGTTGTGGAGCATTTAGTGTCTCTCCAGTTGTGGGGTTCTCAGGTTTTATCCAAGTGTCTATGTAATTAGGCTATGATAAATTCACTTGCAGATGAGACTTGGTGAGTAGCTGTGATCACTTCCCCAGGGAACATTCTAGAAATGAGATGTTTCTTTGAAACATGAGTAGATCACCAGCTAGACAAGAGAAGGATAGGGAGGGGCATTCTAGGTGGAGACATTTGCAATAACTTTCAATGTCTACTACACAGGTACCTAGTGTGCCTGGGCTTGCCCATGCCAGTTGCTGGGTTTGCCCAGGAGGCTAGGAAAGCTCTGGGCACAACATGATGAAGTTATGTGTTTCAGTTGACATCTTAACCAGGCCTTGCTTCCCTTGCCTTGTTTTCACAGTTATATTTGAGGGCCATGTCTTGCCACCTCAATTCGGAAAGCCACCTGGATCCAGGCCCCATCTATGTCCGAGAAAATGGACGGCTGCACATGGTCAGCCTGGCTCTGAATGGCGTCAGGAGTGGCCTGCGGCAACCCAAGCCTTTCGGACTGTTTTCCAAAGGCTTTTCGGTTGAGCTGTGCATGAACAGGGAAGACGACACTGCCCAGAAGGAGAAAACGGATCATTTCATCTTCACGTACACCCGGGAGGGCAATCTCCGCTACTCTGCCAAGTCACTCTTCAGCCTCGTCCTGGACTTCATCTCCGACAACATTGACCATGTCGATTCCCTCATTGGCTTTCCCGAGCAGATTGCTGAGAGACTGTTCTCTGCAGCCGAAGCCAGACAAAAGTTCACGGAGCCGGGCACAGGGCTGAGGGCCTTGCGGAAATTCACCGAGGCCTACGGGCGTCTGGTGCTCTGCTCCCTATGTCTGCGGGACAGGTGGGTGATGTGGTTGGGTTCTTGGGGCCCTTGTGTGGGTGTGTCAGTGCTGTCCATGGCGCTGGGGCTCAGCCAACTTAGAGATACAAGGAGGCACAGATGGACCATCTGGAGAAAAAGCAGTGTCTCTTCCTCTGCTTCCCCTGGTCCCCTTCCCCACCAGCTCTCGGACAGCAGTGGGTTTCATGGCTGTTTTCAAGGATGAGGTGATAACTACATTGCCTCCGTGAGGCAGTACTCTGTGTGCAGCTGCTGTGCTCTGCCCATTAGCTGCACTCGGGGGGCTGTGGCAGGGGCCTGCCAGATCACCGCCTCGAGTTCTTGATCATGTTTCGGTTTGCACACCACTAGGTGTTGATCCTTAGGTCAAAGTCACCTTAAAGAAGTGCTGAAAATGTCACAGATCCTAAAGTTTGGGAATTCTTAGATAAACTTCCAGTACCTCAGTCTGTCTACTGAGAAAGCAGGTGTTTCCTTTGTAATTTCCTTGTGCTCCTGTTTGTTGTTGTTGTTGTTTTAATTCTGCCATCATATAAACATTTCTAAACTGCTAATTTAAAAAAAAGCTTTAAAGGAAAGTGAACATGGCAAACAACAAACACAAAAGGATGTTAATGTAACATAAGCCTTCTTAACATCTCTTGTTTCCTCTGTCAGAGTTCAAGTGTTACTGGTTGCTTTTGTGTCATTCTGGGGGTACTCCCTGAATAGTTGTACGTGGCTGTCTCCTTTGATATATGAATGACAGCATGGTGGCTACACACACACTGTATATTTTTAGAAGTTCACTTGTTTGGAAGAGTTACAGAAAAGGGGAGAGAAGGAGGGATAGAGACCTGCTGGTTCACTCCCAGGTAACCATTATGTCCAAAACTGGCCAAAGCCAAGAGCCAGGAGCTTCATGCCAGTCTCCCACCTGGATGGCAGGGATACATGCATTTGGACCATCTTCTGCTTTTCCTAGGCCATTAGCAGGGATCTAATTAGAAGTGGAGCAGCCAGGACATGAATCAGTACCCATATAGGATGCTAGTATTGCAGGTGGTAGCTTTAGCCACTAAGCTGCAACACCAGTCTGGTGTATACACTCTTACACACCTTGGCTTTCTTCGTGTAATTTGAAAACCTATAATATTTGTCTAAATTTGACGTTTGTCATCTATGTTTGCAGATTTGAGAAATGTGTTAATTTATTTAATAGGCAAAGAAAGAAAAACATAGAGTTCCTATCCACTGGTTTTCAAATTCCTGCAATGGCCAGGGCTGGATCAGGCCCAAACCCAGAGGCAGGAATTCAATCCAGATCCCTCCCTTGGTGGCAGGACCTTCTTGTCTAACACATGCTGCCTCCAGGCCTCTAGGTATGCCGTGGCAGTTGACTATTAACAAGTATAGTCAATATGCCCATTGAAATGAGGATGAACAAAAAGTATCTAGTGGAAGAGGAAAAATTGCTGTCAGCAAATATAAGCCAGGGCTTGGCACAATGACTCAATGGCTAAATCTTCAGCTTGCAAAATCCAAGATCCTTGGACCCAGCATATAACCTAGAGGCTAAAATCTTTGCCTTGCACGCACCAGGATCCCATATGGGCACTGTCTCTAATCTTGGCAGCTCCATTTCCCGTCCAGCTCCTGGGAAAGCAGTCAAGGACAGCCCAAAGCCTTGGGACTCTATACCCACATGGGAGACCTGGAGAAGCTTCTGGCTCCTAGCTTCAGATGGGTTCAGATCTGGACATTGCGGCCACTTAGGGAGTGAATCAGTGGATTGAAGATCTTCCTCTATCTCTCCTCCTCTCTGTATATCTGACTTTCCAATGAAAATAAAATGAATCTTTAAAAAAAAAAAAGCTAAGATCCCATATAGGCACCAGTTCATGTCCTGGCTGCTCTACTTCTTATCCAGCTCCCCACTCTTGGCCTAGGAAAGCCTTGGGACTTGCAACCACATGGAAGACCCAGAAGAAGCTCCTGACTTCTAGCTTCAGATCAGCTCTTGTCTGGCCATTGCAGGCATTTGAGAAGTGAACCAGCAAATGGAAGATCTTTCTCTGTGTCTTCTCTTTGTAAATCTGCCTTTCTAGTAAAAATAGATAAATCTTTTATACATATACATATACATATGTATAGCTTATATGTGTATGAGCTAAACTCATATGCTAAAAAAAAGGAAGAACTAATCAGTTTGTAGGATTCTCCTCCGCGCCGCCCCCCCCCCCCAGGTCAAATATTGTAGTTGCAGAAAGAAAAAACAATCACATGTGGAAAGACCAGAACCTTAGACTGAGCAAGTACCTCAGGGCATCTCTGTCTTGGTGTAGGGAGCTCAGCTGAGGCTGAGGTTGGCACTGCTATCATGGGGAAGGAAAATAAGGATCTTGCCTAAGTGCGAAAGGCAAACAATGTTTTGGTCTAATTTGCATATTTAATGTTTTTATGTTCCAAGTTATTCATGTATACCTTGTTTTAAAATTATTTTATAAAAGCAGCATATATTATTTTAGGAAGGACATAAAACTATAACATTCAAACACCTTTGTGGGAAGCAGGTGTTGACTAGCAGTTAAAGTGTCAGATCTAGGCTTGATACCAGGCTCCAGCTCCTGTCTCCAGCTTCCTGCTATGTAAACCTGCAGAGGCAGAGGTGACGGCTCAAGTATTCAGGTTCCTGGAGTTTGGAGAAGTGGGCCGTCTGTCCCCGGCTACTGGCTGTCAGCAGGGGAGTAAGCTCCCAGATAAGAGTTCTGTGTTGTTGGCTTTGTAAGTAAATAAATAGAAAGAACATGATCCTACAATGATGATACTTTTCAGATACTTATTTTTAATGTACTTGAGATTCTCCAGCTATGTTATCCCGCCCCCTTGTGTTCATCGCTTAAATATTCCCCATCCTACTGAACTGCTGTGTTGTGTTTGTGATGCCTGTGTATTGTTTCAGTGGCGAGATTGTGATGAGCATGGCACTTTCATTCACATTTGATGAGCACATAACATTGGTATAGTTGGAAAGCACTTTGGCAACGTGCAGCTAGCACCTTAAAAACCTAGACTGTTGAGTCCACTTATTGAGAATCTGTTATAATCTGTAATAATCAGATAGGAACAAGTATTTGTACATAATGGTCTTCACTACCACCCTTTTAGCTGGAGAAGTAGAGGCTCAGGAAAGTTACAGACCTTAGGGTTACACAGTGAGGACTTTGGGGTTGGGTCAGTCTGTGTGGTGCTTGAGTGCTTGTGTCTGAGTGTTGTTGGTGGCTGTCTGACTGCAAGACCAGTCACACTCTGATCACTATGATCCTCCGTGTTGGTGCCACTGCCTTGAGTTTTGTTTTCTTTCTAAATCACATTGCACAGCCTTATGTCCTTCAGCAGTAACCCTCATTTCAGAATTACTAAAGATCTTTTGGCTAATTGATCAAAGGATGTGTGTTTTCCTTCCTCTGATTGCCAGTAATCCCCCAAATCCCTAATAACACTTCAGTTCTGTGATTGGAAGATGGGAAACAATGGCTTTATTTATAGTGCAATTAAAATCCAACTGAGTAAATAAGGTTCATTTGTGTAGACTTCCAGGATGGATTTGCAGCCACTTAGGGTGCCTGTGTAACGGCGCTCTCAGTGACTCAAACCATCTGTGCCTTGCTGTCAGGCCAGTGATTGGTTTGAGCACGTCATATTTGGGTGGGAAAGAGGAAGAAAGGCAACCCAGCCTCCCTTCTGCCATGTGCTGATTGAGGCCTGGTTGGAGCACTTGGGTTGTGCTGCTGGGCATGACCCCACCAGTGCCAGCACACCCAGTGGCTGTGGGAACTAGCCCTCCAAGAGGAGTGGGTGAGAAAGGCACTATCCTGCTACTGTCAGCTTCCCTGTCATCTGAGCTGGTCTCGTATTTCCTGTCATGCCTGATCCTTTTCATTTTACCTCATTGACCCTTTTGAAAGGGATAAGCGATCAGAAACCTGGTGAAGCGCAGGCTCTGGAATGCCGCTGGGACCGCCATTTCCCCCCAGAGGCCTCCCCAAGGCTTCCTGCTACCAGTTGGGCATAAGGTGTGTCGGTGCTATTCAGTTGCCATGGCTTGTCCCAATAACTGTCTCACCTAGAGTGAATCCTTTTAGGAGCAGGGCTACACACACTTGGGAAGTCACATTGGCAGGACAACAGTGACGTGGTGGCATGTGCAACCATTCAAACTTGGATTATAGTAAAAGAGATGGGATGTTCTACCAAATATTAGGTTGGTATGTTCTTAAAGGTGTGCCAATTAGAGCTCAGAGTTCTCGACTTTGCTGTAATGTTCAAATCACTAGATATTCAGCACAGGTAAAAAGTGACTTTAAAAATAAAAATTAATATTTTGAGTATCCTAAAGTTTGGAATTTCTCAGTCAGATCTCAGTACCTTTGTTAAGGACTGTCTGTCTAATGACAAAGCAGATGTTTTCTTTTAACTTGCTTCAGCTCACATCCTTTTACTTATTTATCTTTGTTTGAAAGGCTGATTTTACAGAGGGATTAGAAAAAACAGAGACAGAGAGAGGCATCGTCCATTTGTTGGTTCACTCCACAAATGGCTGCAACAGCCAGAGCCAAGCCAATCTGAAGCTGGGAGCCAGGAGCCTCCCCTGGGTCTCCCTGATGGGTGCAGGATCCCAAGAACTTGGGCCATCCACTGTTCTTCCCCAGACCACAAGCAGGGAGAAGATTAGCTTGCTGTATTGATGTACCAGGTGGCTTAAGATTTATTTATTTATTTATTTATTTATTTATTATTTGTGTGTGTGTGTGTGTGTGTGTGTGTGTGTGTGTGTGTGTGTGTGTGTGTGTGTGTGTGTGTGTAGGCTTATTTTACTTGAAAGTTAGATTTATACAGAGATCTTCCATCTACTGGTTCACTTTCCAAGTGACCATAATAATCAGCTAGCTGATCCAAAGTGAGGATCCAGGAGCTTCTTCTGGGTCTCCCACGTGGTGGCAGGTGCCATTCTCTGTTGCTTTCCAGGCAGTTATCAGGGAGCTGGATCAAAAGTAGAGCAGCCGTGGGCCCAGTGTGGTGACCTAGCAGCTAAAGTCTTTGCCTTGAACACCAGGGCCCCATATGGGCGCTGCTTCTAATCCTGGCAGCTCCACTTCCCATCCAGCTCCCTGCTTGTGGCCTGGGAAGGCAGTATAGGTTTGTCTAAAGCCTTGGGACCCTGCACCCGTGTGGGAGACCTGGAAGAAGTTCCTAGATCCTGGCTTCAGATTGGCGTAGCATTGGCCATTGCTGCCACTTGGGGAGTGAATCATCATCTTCCTCTCTGTCTCTCCTCTCTGTATAGCTGACTTTCCAATAAAAATAAAAGTAAATTTAAAATAATAATAAATAATTTTTTTAAATAGAAAGTAAAAAAAACTGCTGACTACTGTCCCCAATCCACAGGTGTCTGGTGATTTCAGAGAAACTCGAGGAGATAAAGTCCTTCCGGGAGCTTACCTGCTTGGATCTTTCCTGTTGCAAGCTTGGAGATGAGCATGAGCTTCTAGAACACCTCACCAATGAGGCTCTGTCTAGGTACTGACCTGCCAACACTGGTTTATTTATTTTATAAATATTTATTCTATGTATCAGAAAGGGAAAGTTACAAATTGAGAGATAAAAAGAGGCCTTCCATCCACTGGTTCGCTCCTCAGGTGGCCTCAACTGCTCGGGCTAGGCCAGGCCAAAGCCAGGAGCCGGAAGCTTCTTCCAGGTCTCCAGAATGGGTGCAGAGGCCCAAGCAGTTGTTCCATCCTCTGCTGCTCTCCCAGGTGTATTAGTAGGGAGCTGGATGGGAAGTACAGCAGCCAGGATTCAAACCAGTGCCCATGTGGGATGCTGGCACAGCAGGCATTGGCTTAACTTGCTGTATCACAGCACCAGCCCTGAAACATTTTTATTTTAAAAATGTTCTTGAAAGTGTGATTCAGTGGGATCATCTAATTACCTCCCTTCTTATGTTTATCTGTTAATTTTTTTTTTTTCTAAAACGTTTTCAGCCTCCATTCACTTGGTCCAAACAATGTAAATGGAATAGTCCTCAGGAAAGCCACTCTGGGGATAACTTTTTGCAGACCTTTATATTGACATGTAATGCTTGAGGCTACCTGAGTTTAAAAGTGATTTTTGCCCTCCATTTTTTTCCACTGCTACTTTATTCAGGGAGAGACAAGAAGTTATGCCATGGCTCACATTCTTAAGTAAATTTTTTTTATATTAAAGATTTATTTTTAATTTTTATTACAAAGTCAGATATACAGAGAGGAGGAGAGACAGAGAGGAAGACCTTCCGTCCGATGACTCACTCCCCAAGTGACCGCAGTGGCCGGTGCTGCGCTGATCCAAAGCCAGGAACCTCTTCTGGGTCTCCCACACGGGTGCATGGCCTCAAAGCTTTGAGCTGTCCTCAACTGCCTTCCCAGGCCACAAGCAGGGAGCTGGATGGGAAGCAGGACCTCTGGGTTTAGAACCGGCGCATTCAAGGCGAGGACATTAGCCGCTAGGTCACGCCGCCAGGCCCACATTCTTAAGTAACTTTAAATGAAATATAAATTATAAGGAATATGAAATATTAAAGAAATTCTTTTTCAGAACATGATTTACAGAAATGGCCAAGTTCATATGATTGGTACATAGTTCAGGTGATCTCAGGTTAATATGACCAGCAGAGAGGAGGCCAGAAAGATTGCATTACCTTCTCACTCACGCCCTGACACCCGGGGTCTGATTGCAGGATGCCTACTGCTGATGCCAGCAGTGATGGGCTGCCCTGTGTCAGGTGTTCTCATGTGACGTTAGTTAGGACCCTGGCCTTGATTTGAAGAAAGGGTGAACATGTTAACAGGCAAGTTTCAGGTGTGGGTGGATTGGACTAGGAGGATACTTTGTAAACCCACTGTGAAAGTCTAGACTTGGGTGCTTGCTTTGGCTGCACATACACTAAAATTGGAACAATACAGAGAAAATTAGCATGGCCCCTGCACAAAGATGACGAAAGTCTGGACTTGGAAAGCTGGTTAAAAGTAGAGGATTACTTGCTTTGTAAAAAAAAGTCTTTCGCAGTCTATTGAGATACTTAGAATGCATTTGTTTTTCTCACAATTTGTTGGAAGTGCAGGGTTTGGGTTGAGGTATAGTCCCTGGGCACCTGATGGGACCCTATATCCTCAGTGCCCTCTGCCAGGTGAGATCAGTACCATGTGATACAGTGATTACTGAATGAACCCTCCTGCAGGGACTGAAATGCTGCCCAAAGACCTTGAACTCTGTGATATGTGTGGAGAGCTCCCTGACTTGCAGAGAAAAACTCACACACACCGTGTCCTTTTCCGTGGTGCTTCTTTATTATCCTCCATCTCCTCCCTCCTCCGTTCTGCACAAACTTCACAATATATACATTTCACCATCCAATCAACATTAAGGGCAATACAGCATGCGTAAAGCACACCAACCATAACGCAGAGTACTAACCCTGCACGTGGTGAGCATGCACCAGGGGCCAATCAGGATGAAGTTCCGGATTCTGCTAGGCCTCTTCCTCATGACCCTGGCATACAGCCAAGGTGTCATCTTAGGGCTGAGCAGCTGAAGCTCCCAACAGCATGTGTTAGGTGTGGAACTAGTGCAATGATCAATTGGTTAATCCTCTGCGAACAAGGGTTGGCATCCCATGTGGACACTGGATCGTGTCCCAGATGCTCTACTTCCCATCCAGCTCCCTGCTTCTGACCTGGGAAAGCGGTAGAGGATAGCCTAAAGCCTTGACATTGAACTCACATGGGAAACCTGGAAGAAGCTGTTGGCTCCTGGCTTTGAATTGTCTCAGCTCCGGCCGTTGTAGCCATTTGAGGAGTGAACTAGCAGATGGAAGATTTTTCTGTCTCTTCTCTCTATAAGCCTGCCTTTCCAATAAAAATAAAACAATCTTTGAAAATGCAGTAGGTGTGAAATACCAGGAGATGGAGGATGTTTTGTTATTCTAAATGGCAGTTGTCAAAGCGTGTTCTCACGTGTAGACTGTCTCACATTGTCTGTAATTCCTCTCTGACCTTCTGTTTTCCTAGTGTCACTCAGCTCCACCTGAAGGATAATTGTTTGTCTGACGCCGGGGTGCGGAAAATGACAGCACCCGTTCGCGTGATGAAACGAGGCCTTGAAAATCTAACACTATTAGACTTATCTTGTAAGTTTTATTAGAAATGATGGATTATTATTGTTACATGAATGGCCTTGGGGGTCACCTGGTTCTCTTTCATTTTAGAAGTGATAAAGAAAAGGTGGCTTCTCTAGGTACTATAACAGGTTAGTGTCAGCAGAACTAGGGCCAAAGGCCCTTGGCCCCTGGCCACACCCCTTCTTTGGCACCTGCCCTCTCCTTAGGGTAGGTAAAGCCCTTGCAGACTGCACTGTGACGCTCACAATACCAACCAGGCAGCCTGATCCATGGTATGAACAGCTTTGTGTGACCCCTTGGATCAACCACTTAAACCTCTCTGAGCTGTCTGTGAAATGAGCCTGTGGGTAGATGGATACACCCAGGGACATGTGGTCATTCCATTAATATTTTTTGAGAATCTGTAGTGCACCAGGGACTATGCTTGTAGTCTTCACAACTTTATCCTAAATGTGGACTCTGAAATGAGAGAAGATTCTGGAAATAGTGCAAGTTAGTATCAGGAGTGATAGTTTCTGTATCAGAGTACTCATTTTTTTTTTTAAGATTTTTATTTTTATTGTAAAGTCAGATATATAGAGAGGAGGAGAGACAGAGAGAAAGATCTTCCATCCGATGATGCACTCCCCAAGTGTCCGCAACTGCTGGTACTGGGCTGATCTCTAAGCCAGGAGCTCTTTCAGGTCTCCCACGCGCATGCAGGGTCCCAAAGCTTTGGGCTGTCCTCAACTGCTTTCCCAGGCCACAAGCAGGGAGCTAAATGGGAAGCGGGGTCGCCGGGATTAAAACTGGCACCCATATGGGATCCCGGCACGTTCAAGGCAAAGACTAGCCACTAGGCCACCGCACTGGGCCCCAGAGTACTCTTTTAAAAAAGATTTATTCGTCTTAATTGAAAGGTGTCAGAGTTACACAGAGAGAGGAGACACAAAGAGATCTTCCATCTACTGGTGGCCACAATTGGTCCAGGACTGGGTCAGGTCAAAGCCAGGAACCTCGAAATCTAGGTGTCCCCCATGTGGGTGGTAGACACCCAAGCACTTGGGACATCTTCCATTGTTTTCCCAGGTATATTAGCAGGGAGTGGAATAACTGGGACTTAAATTGGCTCTCATACAGGATGCTGACATTACATGGGTCAGCCCAACTGTGCTGCAGTGTAAGCCTTTGTGTCAAAGTACTATTGAAGGAAAAAAAATTTTTTTTTAAGATTTATATATCTGAATGACAGAATTTACACACAGAGAGGGAGAGATTACTTCCTAAGTAATGCACTGGCCAGGGCTAGGCCAGTCTGAAGCCAGGAGCCAGAAGCTTCAACCAGGTGTTTCCTGTGGGTACATTGGTCCAAATGCTTGGGCCATCCCTGCTGTGCATTAGCTAGGAGCTGAATTGAAAGTGGAAGAGCTGAGAATCGAACCAGTGAGCATATGGAATGCTGGCTTTCAGGTAGTAGGCCCCCAAGCTCTTTTTATGGTGAAAACTGAGACAGGTGTTGTGGCACAGTGGTTCAAGCCAGTACTTGGGATACCCACGTGTTAGGTGGAGTACCTGGATTCAAGTCCCACATCCATTTCTGATGTGGTTTCCCACTCACGGGCAGTCGAGCTGGCAGCAGCAGGTTGATGGTTCAGGTAAATGCATCTCTCCCACCCACTGGGGAGTCCTAGATGCAGTTTCTGGTTCCCAGCTTCCAACTGGCCTAAGTCTGGCTATTGAGGATATTTGGCAAGTGCCAATTGGATGATCTCTCTCTGTCACTCTGCCTTTCAAATAAACAAAGTTTAAAAATATAAATAAATGTTACTGCTTTAGAGGTGAAGTGGCCATGAATAAAATATGAAACATTCTAATACACCTTTTTATGTGTTATTTATGTATGGTTCAAGGAAAACCAGCCCTTTGGGATCACTGTCTGGATCATTTATTTTTCTCCTCATCCCCAAGTCCTCTGAATGAGAGCAGTAAAAGATCTTCGGGGTCTTGCGTTACAGATAGGCAAGAGAAGAATGCTGTATTTGGTTTACCCTCCAGTGTTTGCCCCTTCAGTATTTCGTAGTTACTGCATTTTTTGAGCGTGTGGTTGAGATTTTGGCAGCAGTTAAAATGAAAACAGCATGCTCCTTGTTTTTACCATCTAGGTAACCCTAAGATCACAGATGCAGGAATTGGATACCTGTTCTGTTTTAGAAAGCTAAACTGCTTAGATATCTCTGGGACAGGGCTCAAGGTAAGATTTTTGATTGTCTCTCTTTCATTTTTTCAGACTCCACAGTTTCCTAGTTTGCTTCTGATAAGTGATATTCAGAAAGGGCTGATGTGTGTGATGGTGTTTCATCGCTACTGAAAGCAAGTAAGAGTTGATGGCTATGTTTGCGTTTCTGGTCTGTCTCCCTCCCTAGGATGTAAGCGCCATCAAGCACAAGCTGCAGGCCCGCATGGGCCTCGTCCTCTCCCAGGTGTCTCTGAAGGAATTCGATCACACTAACTGCAAGACCGAGGGCTGGGCCGACCAGGTACTGCCACGTTGGTTTGACTTTCATCTTGGGTCTTTCTCCAACACATGGAGCACTCATTAGTCCTCTCAGTATTCCTTGGCTAAGTTCCCATCTTGGCATCAAGCAGACCTGCGGGCCCTAACTGACCTGTCTACTTAAAGAGTCTGCATTGAGGTGAGATCTTAGATCTCAGGCTCTGGCCTCTGTGCTGTGCCTCATCTTTCCTAAACCTGGAAAAAAATAACATCTTACAAATGTCTTTCCAAGACATCTTGGAAAATGATTGAGCACTGGGTCCGCTATGCAGAAGAGCTATCTGACCTGACCTCGGGGCAGATTTTCTTAGTAGAGTGTCACTTTCTGGAGAAAGGCTAAACCCTGATGCCTTGCTCCGGGATTCACAGCTCTCCCTGTGGGCAGATTTCTCCCAGGCTTAGGAAGGCGTGTCTTTCTTGTCCTTCTCTCACCAAGCTCTGCTAATGACAGAACTTCACTTTGATGCTTTCATCTTTGCCTTTTTTCTGATTTTTGGTTATATTTCAATATGTATTTCAAAGGCAAAGCAATGGAGTGAGAGATCTTTCAAGCCCTGGTTTACTCCCGAGATGCCACTGCAGCTGCATCTGGTTCTGCCTGCAGCCAGGAGCCACTCTTCCAAATGCTGGCCCCTTCCCTTGTTTTCTTATTTTTCAAAGCCTTTGCTCAAAATTGAGATTTTATTGGTGTTGCAAATTAATACATAGACTCTTCACTTTGTACATAATTCTTAACATACATATTAAATATCTAAAAAGCCGAGAATTTGCATTCTTTCTAGAAGTTATCATAGTGATTCTCCAGCTTCAAATCACCCCCTTTTCCAAGATTTATTTTATTATTTGAGAAAGTGTCAGAAGAGAGAAAGAACTCTTGCATGCATTCCACAAATGAACACAGCTCCTGGAGCTGGTTCAGGTTGAAGCCAAGAGCCCAGAACTCCATCTGAGTCTCCCACATGGGCAACCAAGCACTTGAGCTGTCTAACGCTGCCCTCCCAGGCATGCCTGCAGGGAGCTGATCAGAAGCAGAGCAACATGGGATACTGGCTGTGCTGCCATACTGGCTGTCCGATTTTCAATCTCCCACAGCACATTAACAAGATTAGGATATTGAACTACCTGGACTGGCCCAGCCAAATACTTTACAGAGGGCACACGATTCTGACAGAGCAACAGGAGGGGTTCACTATAGGAAACAATTTTACTAAACAATATGGAAGTAGAAGTAAATGAAAATGAAGCCTGGCATCATGGCTCAATGGCTAAATCCTTTCCTTGCAAATGCCAGGATCCCTTATAGGCACCAGTTCATGTCCTGGCTGCTCCACCTCCCATCCAGCTCCCTGCTTATTATAGCCTGGGAAAACGTGTTATGTAAGCTTGTGTAAGAATGAATTTGAGTGCTGTTTGTTGGCTGTGAGATCAGTATTAATGATGTAGTGATAAATATTTTAAAAATGCTCTTAACAGAAACAACGAATTTTTTAAAAAGTCATTGAAATTAATCATAACGCAGGGCAGCGTTGTGCTTTTGACATAACATAGCATGTTAGTCCTTTGCTGCCGCTCTGGTTTGAGTCCTGAGTGCTCCTCTTCCCATTCAGCTCCCTGCTAATGTGCCTGGGAAAGCAACAAAAATGGTCCAAGTGCTTGGGTCCTTGAACCTACCTGGGAAACCCAGAGGAAGCTCTTGGCTCCTGTTTCAGACCAGCCTAGCTCTGGCCATTGCAGCTATTTGGGGAGTAGACAAGTGGATGGAAGAGAGCTGTCTCTCCTTCTCTGTCTTTCTGTATCTCTGCCTTTCAAATAAACAAATAATTATTTTGAAAAAGAAAATATTTGTGACAGATTAGTTGTACAAACTCATCTCCTAGTTGTCAGTCACTGTGTGTTATAGGTATGGGGCTGGCAGGAAACAGTCCCCCATTAGTGGAATGTCCAGCTGACCCCCACATTGGTGAAAACCTCCCTAATTCAGTCACCCACTATTTTCTGATTGTTCTATAAAATAAACACCAGCAGATGATTTCACCTGTTTTTATAAAATCATTTAAATAAAAAAAATAGATAGGTGAACTTCCTCTAAAAATGGTCATAGAGTTACTAAAAACTAGTGTTTACAAAATTGATAAAAGTACTGTTCAGGACTGCACATGAAGGAAGACAGGGACCACTGATGAGACTGTGAGCCGAACTTGGCTTTGCCTTGTGCCTCGTGAGAGGCTGGCCTCTGCTCAGGGGTCATGTCTCTGCTGCAGACAAGTCTTCAGTCTCTTGGGTAGCCACCTCGGCCTGTGGCCCCTGAATTCTCTTTCCCTTCAGCTTATGCTTTCTGTCTGATAATTCTTCCTGTTGCACTTTGGGTTTCACTTGACATGTACAGGAGCAGAGTTAGCTAACGACTTTACCCATCTCCACGTGGCCCAGTCCTGGCTATTGCAGGAACTTGCAGAGTGAACTGGTGGAAATAACAAAGCCTTTTTAGAAGTAATGGTACAGATGGACACTGTGGCAGAGCTGGCTGGGCTGCCCCTTACCGGGGGTCCTCCCGTCCCGCAGAAGAAATCACCCGACACTTGTGAGAGTCTCCAAGGCGCTTTATTCCGATCTTCCGTTGTGACCGTTATGACTATTAATTCCGTTACGCTCCAGCCCCTCCCCCACCAAGCCCCCCCCCTTAACTGTCAAACCTGTCCAATCAGCTTAAAGATACCAAGGCACACCAATCAGGGCAAAGGGCCAATCACAGGGCAGGAAATGGTCAGTGCCCCCAACAGCCCCTTCTGTTGTCCACATACTATATCAGAGTACTAGTTCATATCCTGGCTGCTCTGCTTCTGATGCTAATGTGCCTAGGAAAGCAGTGGAGAGTGGCCCAAGCACTGGGGCCTCTGCCATCCATATGGTAGACCTGGAAGGAGTTCCAGGTTCCTGGCTTGGCCTGGGCCAGCTTCAGCTATTGTGGCCGTTTGGGGAGTGAACCAGCCGGTGGAAGACTTCTTTCTGTCTCTCTCTTACTCTGTGTTATTCTACCTTTCAAATAGTATTAAAGTATAAATTATTTCCCCTTGCTGTCCCTCCCCACTACTGTTTCAGGGCCACCCTCTAGTGCATAGTGTCATAGTCTGTCTGGTGCCCAAAATCAGCTTGTGCAGAGCAGTCATCTTTTTCTTTCCTGTACCCAAGCATCTCTTATTAAAGATTTATTTATTTAAATTGCAGTTACAGAGAGGGAAAGAGTGACAGAGGTCTTCTGTCAGCTGGTTCACTTCCCAAATGGCCACAAGGGCCAGGCTGAAACCAGCAACCAGGAACTTCTTCTAAGTCTCCCACACTGGGGCAAGAGCCAAAACTCTTCGGCCATCCTTCACTGTTTTTTCCCAGGCCATCAACAAGAAGCTGGATTGGAAGTAGGACAGCTGGGACTTGAACTAGCACCCATATGGGATGCCAATGCTACTGGTGGCAGTATAACTTGCTATATCACAGAGCTTGCCCCTGAAAAGTTATTCTTACTGGTGTTCTTAGAACATTTCTCTTAGTGAAAGAACAGGTTTCCTTTCTTGCCTCCAATTCAACATGTGAGGTTTATCCATCTCAGCCTCCTCTTAAATCTGTCCCCACTTTCCATAACCTGGAAAGATGATAGAAAGATGCCAGCAGTAACCACCACATGCGTTTTTCCTGTGGCATGTGCTGTGCTAAACAACTGCTGTGTGCTGTCTCCCTGGAGCCTTCCAGCAGCCCTGGGCAGCAGGAGCTGTTACAAAGCCTCGTTTTGCAGACAAGGAAGTTGAGAGCCTGTCAGCAGCAGAGCCAGCTCGGGAAGGAAACTGTATTCTCTAACTACATCTTGCCATGTGTCCTGCAGTGTGTCTTGTGACTGTCTATGATCAGGTTGTCATGTAGTATAATGAGAACTGTTACACGTGAAGTTCTTTTTCCCATATGTTAGGGTGATCATCAAGTTTATTTATGTGTAATTTATATGCAGATTTCTGAAACAGTTTGTAGAAGCTTACAATAATAGAAATCTATGTTAGTCAGAGTTCTTTTTTTAAAATGGAACAAAATCATGAACTGTTGAGAATGTGGAAACGTGGGCAAATATTTTGCTGAGTTGACATTACCACTGGTGTGTCTGAAGGCGTGAAAGGAGTCTAAGCGTTTGTGAAGAATCTTAGGGCCAAGGCTTCGCAGGGCAGACCTGAGCTTGAGGTACGCTTGGAGTTTTGAGTGAGGGTAAAGACAGCTTCTGAGTTAGGCTACCGGAGGCTTCAGAAAAGCCAGGCTTGCCTGGGGGCTGTCCCTTGTCCTGAAGTAGTGGTACCACAGGGGTTTGTGTTCCTGGAAAGGGAGCCAGGGGCAATGTGAAAGCCTCAAGGTTCAAGTCTCAGGATTTTGATGAGATTCCACTCTTTCCAAATGTATTGCAGATTGTCCGGCAGTGGGAGCGCCTGACAGTGAAACCCCTGAAGAAAGCGGCTGTTGCGGAGCCTCGAAAGACAGCTCAGTACTTCTGTGAGAAACTCCCTTCCTTCAAGCAGTCAGCCTGTCTTCTGGCCATGGGGATATTATGATAGTGCTAACTTATTGATGACCATCCAAGAGCTCTAAGCATCAGCACGAGGAAGATAGTTTTTATAGTTATTTATATCTCGTCTTGTTCCAAAAAAAGTTTTTTTTTTCAAAGATTTAGTTTATGTGAAAGACAAAGTGATGCAGAGAGGGAAAGAGAGACCGAGAGAGATCTTGTGTCTGTTTGTTTATGCCCAAATGCCCACAACATTCAGGGCTGGACGAGGCAGAAGCGAGGAGCCTAGGACTCTGTCCACTGCCTGTCTATTTGAATGGCAGGAACCCAAGCATTTGGGCCATCCTTCACTGCCTGTTCAGAAGGATGAGCGGGAAGCTGCGTTGGAAGGCTCAAGTAGACAGGACTTGAACCAGCACTACTGTGTGGGATTCAGGCTACCCAAGCAGCAGTTTAACCCACTGCACTGTAGTGTCAGCTCTCCAAAAAAAAAAGGCACTGGAGTAAATAGAGTAGATAAGAAAGGAGTTAAAAGTGGAAGCAACCTAAAAGTCCATCACTAAGAGTCCATCAGCAATGAATGGACAAAAAAGGTGCAGTATTTACATGAATAGACTGCTACCCAGTCTTTGAAAAGTAAGGAGGGACTTGTAAGCCTTGGTCAGTGGGCAGGCTGCCCGTCAAAACACTGCTGTCACATGTCAGGATGCTGGTTCAAATCCTGGATATGCTGTTTCTGATGCAGTTTCCTATTAGTATGCCTGGGATGTTAAAAAAAGATAGCCCAAGAACTTGGACCCCTGCCACCCATATGGGAGGCTTGGTGGAGTTTCTGGCTCCTGGCTTTGCCCAAATATGGCTATTGTGGCTGTTTAGGGAATAAATTAGTAGGTACATCTGTCTGTGAATGTATTTCCACCTTTCAAGTAAATACATCTGTTTGTATGTTTGTTTAGGAGAGACAAAACGGGAAAGATCTTCCGTCCACCAGTTCACTCCCCAGTGACCGCAATGGCCAGAGTGGAGCCGATCTGAATCCAGGAGTCTGGAGCTTCTTCCAGGTCTCCCATGTAGGTGCAGAGTCCCAAGGCTTTGGGCCATCCTCAACTGCTTTCCCAGGTCACAAGCAGGGAGCTGGATTGGAAGTAGGGCCACTGGGATTAAAACAGATGCCCATATGGGATCCCAGTGTGTTCAAGGCGAGTGCTTAGCTGCTAGGCCACCATGCCAGGCCCAGAGTTTTCAATTTTTTTGTATTTATTTTATCAGTGACAAGATCCAGATGAAGGAGTTATAAAGATAATGAAATAAGAATCGAAGACTTACCAGTTAACACTAAGAAAGATGATGCTGTTGGATAGGTTGTGCCATGAATTTGGCTTTTAAAAGGCAGAGTATGGCCTGGAGTGATGGCCCTGTGACTGTTCATGTCCCAGCTGTTCCACTTCCCCTCCAGCTCCTGGTTTGTGGCCTGGAAAAGCAGTGGAATATGGCCTAAAGCCTTGGGACCCTGTGGGAGTTGGAGGAGGCTCCTAGCTCCTGGCTTCAGATTAGCTCAGCTCTGGCCGTTGCAGCCACTTGGGGGGTGAACCAACGAATGGAAGATCTTTCCCTCTGTCTCTCCTTTCTAAATCTGCCTTTCTATTAAATATAAATAAATACATAGGCCCAGCACAGTGGTCTAGCAGCTAAAGTCCTTGCCTTGAACGCACCAGGATCCCATATGGGCACCAGTTCATATCCCAGCTGCTCCACTTCCCTTCCAGCTCCCTGCCACAAGCAGGGAGATGGATGGAAAGTGGGACCGCCGGGATTAGAACCGGCACCCATATGGGATCCTGGCGTGTTCAAGGCAAGGACTTTAACTGCTACGCTATTGTTTCGGGCCCTAGACATTCATCTTTATATCACCTTTATGGAAGATTTTAAATTTAAAATCTATCTATCTATGTATACATGTATATGAGCGAATACATACACGCACGCACACACACACATACATTTGCTTCGAAGACAGAAAGAGCGCATATTAGTTATCTTCCATTTGCTTATTTACTTCCCAAATGGCCTTAGTGGTTGCGCTGGACCAGGCCAAAACCTGAAACCAAGAGCTGCATCCCTGTTTGGCCTGGGCACAAGCCCTTGGGCCAACTTGTACTGCCTTCCCAGGTGCAGGAGCAGGGAGCTGCTGCTAAAGTGGAGCAGCCAGGTTGAACCAGCACTCTGACATGGGATCCTGGCACAGGAGACAACAGCTTAACGCGCTGTGCTACAACACTGATGCCTTTCACTTTTTATATTTTCTGTTTGTGAGGAGGGAGCTAGATGTAGAGAAGGAACACAAGCACACTCGCACTCCCATCTACCCTGAAACTAGGAACTCACTCCAGGTGCCAGATCTGGGTGGCAGGAAGCCAGCTCCCCAATCCCCTCTGTTGTCCCCCAGGTCCTGCATCAGCAGGATTCTGAGCTCAGGTGGCAGAGCTCTCATACAGCCCAGACACTCCAAGGACATGCGAGATTCTTAGTTGGCATCTAAATGCCCAACCCTAAGTCTCTGTACCTTGAAAGATGAAAAAGCCACTTGCCCAAGGACTCATCCAGGAGGAGGCAGATCTGGGATTTGAACCCCTACGTGTGAGCCCAGTGTAAGATCATTCCCATATACACTACCACTGTCCACAGAGATATTGTCAAGAAAAGAAAATGTCTCATTTTGGTCTTTGTTATTTCTGAACATTGGCAGGCTTCAGCATGCCGGGTCACCAGACTAACTCCCTCCTCCCCTCCCCATGACTTTCATAGATGGAAACCGCTTCCTGGCCGAGGCCTCTTTACGATGTGCCCTGGACAACACCTGCCCGTATGCCAATGAGAAGCTCCAGTTTCGGAAAGAGAAGCCTGCAGAGGCCCGGGGGCCATTGTTGAACTGTGACACTGCCATCTCAGTGCACGAGCCCCAGAAGAGCAAGAAGAGGACTTTCGAGGAGTCAGAGAAGGAGCCGAGTAACTCCCCACAGGCTGCCAAGCAGAAGTATGTGTGCCTCACTGTGCAGGACTGGGACCTGCTAAATTCTTACTGATGGGCAGCTGCGTGCAGCCCTGTTGCCCAAAACCCTAGTGAAAGAGAAGGCATGGCTGAGGGTTTCCTTTGTGTTTGATGTTACCTGTGGCATTGGCATAGCAAACAGATATTTCTACTTTTGTGGTAGGGAAGGGAAATGCTATGGAGGTATGTTAATAATTTGTAATGTATATTTTCAATACATAGTAATTTTTTCAAATAAACTTTTTTGCTGTCCTTAACTTTTTAAAAAATTTTTATTTACTTATTTGAAAGAATGACAGAAATTGGGAGCTATTTTATTTTTGTTATTATTTTTGAACGATTTATTTACTTACTTAAAAGGCAGAGTTAGTGAGGGAAAGGCAGACATCATCCATTGGTTCATCCCAAAATGGCTCCTTTTCCTCAAGGCTCTTGCTCATCTCTGCTGCTGATGCAAAACAAACCTTTCTTAGGGTATGAACAAGCTGTTCTAGTCTCTGAAAGTCTAGGCTTTGTGTTATGGAGGCGCTGCTTTCGTGAAGGAGGCAGGAATTCATGACGTGCAGAATATAGATGGGGTGATTCCTAGGTGTGGTTAACTTACATGTGAAGATAAACTTTTCTAAAGCTAGCCTGTCTTCTGTCTGGAAAATCACTTAGTGTGAACAATGGGCCCCATGCCTCTTTAAAATCTCACTTATTGAGCACAAGAGTAAATAAATAAGTGATTCTCCAATGTGTAGCCCGTGGACCCTGCTCCAGAACTCCTGAGGTTTTTTTTTTTTTAAGGTTTATTTTATGTTTTATTGGAAAGTCAGATATACAGAGAGAAGGAGAGACAGAGAGATCTTCCATCCGTTAGTTCACTCTCCAAGTTGCTGCAACAGCTGGAGCTGAGCCAGTCCAAAGCCAGGATCCCAGAGCTCTTGTGGGTCTCCCACGTGGGTGCAGGATCCCAAGGCTTTGGGCCATCCTCGGCTGCTTGCCCTGGCCAGAAGCAGGGAGCTGGATGGGAAGTAGAGCAGCTGGGACATGAACCAGCACCCACATGGGATCCTCGCAAGGCAGCACTTACAAGTTGAGGGTTATTTAGCCGTTGAGCTCTGGTTTAAAACCCTCCTCGATCTATCTACTGAAGAGCAGTGCATTCCATTGTATGTAATATCTATATAATTCACATTAATTATCATGTATATACGTAATTATTTCCAAAGGGATTCAGTGTGGTCCCTTGCCTCTGGCTGGGCATTGCTGGGTGGCCCTCTTCCCTCAGAGGAGGCAGGACTCCTCCTCTGCTGGCAGCCTGGCTGGGCCTGAGCTCCCAGTTGGCTTGAAGGCCTGCGCTTCTGTGAGCTCAAGGATGAGAGTGGAAATCTCTGGCAAACAGCAGAGGCAGGTGGTTCAACCAGTCTGGATTTGCAGGCCAGTGTCCTGAGGGACTGAGGCTGAGCTGCTTTAAATCTCATTCATCTACCCCTGTGTGTTTGCACAGCGAGGAGGAACCTGTTGTACTGCTAGTACCGTTCCCGGAGCTTAGGCCATGGGAGGCTGAGAGAGGCAAATATTGACGCTGGTTCCTGCTCTGGGCTGCTCTGTGTCCGGAGCAGGGGGCGGGGTCTGCCTGCCTGACATTACCTGCTGGAGCTTCTGGAGCTGCCTCCTGGAATGCTGTTTGGGAGCACTGCACCTGCATCTCTTCTCCCCTGCCCTCTCCCCCCTCCCCTCCCCTCCCTTCTCCTTCCTTTCCTTTATTTTTCTTTCTGTTTCTCTCTTTCTCCTTCCTCCCTCCCTCCTCTCCTCTCCTCCCCTCCCCTCCCTCCCTCCCTTCCTCCCTTCCTTCTTTCCTTCTATCCCCCAGGTCACTTCCCAAATGGCTGCAATAGTTGGCCGGGCCACACCAAAGCCAGGAGCCAGGAGCGTCCTCTTGGTCTCTCACATGGGTGGTAGGAACCCAAGCACCTGGGCTCTGCTGCTTTCCCAGGCACATTAGCAGGGAGCTAGATTGGAAATGGAGCAACTGGGACTGGAACTGGCATCCAAATGGGATACCGCCATCATAGAAAGTGGCTTAAAATTGGCTTTGACACCAGCTTCTTTCTGAAATACTGAAACAATCAGCCAGGAATGAGATGTCAGCTGGGGCTTGGGAGGCAGTTTCTCTGGAATGATGCCTATCGAGGTTTAGCTGTTGGCTCTGCATCGTCAGAGTTGTGCAACTTCAAGCAAGCCACATGGAGCTGGATGGAAAGTGGATCAGCCAGGATTAGAATCTGCATCCATATTGGATCCTGGCACATGCGAGGTGGGGACTTTAACCATTAGGCTACTGCACCGCACCCCAATCTTATGAGTTCTAAACAGCAAGTGTGCAGTCCAGGGTTGGCTGCTCTGGTTCACTCATGGCCTCATTCATCGGCCTCTGCACACAGCTCCAGGCCAAGCCATGGGCCAGGATCAGGCCAAACCCTGGCTCCTATGCCTCTGATCCCGGTTTCCTGCTAACGTGCACCTTATGACTTCCATCTGACCCTGCTCTGGCTGCATTTGTCCATTTGGGAAGGCAAACCAGCGAGTGGAAAATAACCTTTGTCCATTTTTCAAATAAATTTTAAGATTTATTTTATTTTTATTGGAAAGTCAGATATAGAGAGATGAGGAGAGACAGAGAGGAAGATCTTCCATCCAATGATTCACTCCCCAAGCAGCTGCAATGGCTGGAGCTAAGCCGATCTGAAGCCAGGAGCTAGAAGCTTCCTCCAGGTCTCCCACTCGGTGCATGGTTGCAAGGCTTTGGGCCATTCTCAACTGCTTTCCTAGACCACAGGCAGGGAGCTGGATAGGAAGCAGAGCCACTGGAATTAGAACTGGCACCCATATGGGACCCTGGTGTGTACAAGGTGAGAACTTTAGCTGCTAGGCTACTGCGCTGGTCTCCAAATACAAATTTTTTTAAAAACCATGCAAGTATGAAAAAAGTTTTTAAAAACACAGAAGTCTGATCCTGTCCCTGGGGCATGTCCCTCTCCCTCAACAGGAACTCTCCTGGATTCTCAATGCCTGCACGTGTTTTTCAGACTCAGGGTGGGGACACTGTGATTTTAAGTATCTGACTGTGCCCCCTGCCAAGGTATTGTCCCACTGGGGGTCTGAAGAGCCTCTGGCCAGGACTGCCCTAGTTTCTTCATGGACTTCCTAAAGGACTTAGGGCTAATCAGTTCCTCTCTCTGGACCTCAATTTGCTCACCTGTCCAGGGGGATATCTGCCCTGCCTGCTCAGATGCTGTGAAGGCACATGTGGAAGAAGCTCATTCGGCCAAAACCGTGTCCCTAGTTTAAGGAAGCAGGGTAGCAGAACTGGGCAGCTGGGCCTGCGTAGAGATCCGCATGGGGCAGAGACGGATGTGGGCCAAGGGTCGTTGGTGAGGGGCTGCCTGATGACTAACTTCAGGACTCCTAGGAGAAGGTGCTAAGCCTCCAGCATGGCTTCCCAGGCTGGGGCAACAGGTGTCTGTCACGCGCCAGCTCCTGTGACAGACCCACAAGGGTCACTCAGTTGAGACAATTACAGGTGTCACATGCCAGCCCAGCAGTACCTGCTGGATGGAGGTGCCAGGGGAACGGAAGGTGGCCCTGCTTCACTTCTGCCCCACCCACAAGGTCTGTATCAGGGACTCAGACTACTTCCCTAGCGGGGACAGCTCAGGAGCTGTCCGCCACTTTGGAGCACAAGAGCAGGCCTTGCCCTCTCTCCCCAGAGACAGGTCTTACATTATACAAGCAGATTGCCCTCGCCTTTGTGAGATGCTACCTGGCATGGAAGTGAGCTCCCCATTACTGAGGGGCAAACAACAGGGAGCACATGAAGAAGGAGAGTGCTACTTAGAGTCAGTGTGTGTATATCCCACTGGGTGGGCGATGTGGAAGGTTCCTTCCTCCTCTTCTGCTGTGGAGACCACGTTCATGAGCAGGTTGTTGCTGCCACTCTGACCATGGTCTTCTGTCCACCCATGTGGAGGACTCAGGGTCCAGGGCAGTAGTACTCATCAGACCAGTCAGAGCAGTGCTGCACATGGTCCCGGCACAGGCTCCTCGGGATACAGCTGCAGTACCTAAAGACAGTGGGTTGGCAGCGCCACCAGCCAGGGCCACAGGGTGGGCAGGCACTTGCTGTGGGGACAAGAAGAAGAGTAGGTGTTGGTGGGGTGGATCCTGGCCAGCCCTGGGGACCCCAGTGTGCTCATCAGCTCTGAGTACCACCATAGCTCCCAATTCACGTGGGCTGCCTGTATCTCTAATTCTCTAGCAGCAGAGTGGATGCAGGTGGCACCTGCTGGGTCCAGAGGCCCTGCCTGCCCTGAGCCTTTCTCCATCTGGGCTCAAGGTGAAGAAAGTGATGGAAGAAAAGCAGGATCCTCGCTTTAGCAGGTGCATATTATCTGCCAGTCCTACCTCCCATCCCTCCCTCCATACCCCCAGTCCCCAGCCTCACCAATCCACTAGAGCTCCCCAAAATGGTTTGCAAACTTCTCTCCATCACTCTGGGCCTTGGGCCCCCCAGCCTTCTCCTCCTGGCCCACCTAGCCTCAGTGTGTGGGGATCCTGCCTCTTTGTGGAGGCCTGCTAGAATGCTGCTTCCTCCCGGAAGTGTCCTGGATTCCTCCTCCTGGGCTCTGGCACTTCCTTAGAGTGGAAGGTGGCATCATGGGAGGTCTGTACCTGATTCCTGACTGGCAGCTCTCAGCATAATCCAGAATCAGCCCCAGCCCCAGCAGTGCACAGGTGTTTGTTGATTAAACAATGGAGATGAAACTTGGAGCCAACTCTGGGGTGGCAGACAGCAGGCCTGAGTCCAGAAGTCTGGCTCTGTGTATGCTCCCTTCCTGTCCCTCATGGTACTACTGAGTGTCTTCTCTTCTGGAGGTTTCTGTTGGCCCACATGTGGACAGCGGGGTAGGGGCCATGCTTGGTTTCCTGCTTTGGGGTAGTGCAGAGGAAATGAGGGAACCCAGGTTCAAACCCCAGGTAGCCCTGTATGTCCTCTCTATAGGATGTCTCTGTCCTATTCCCACCACAGAAAAATGAACCTCCAGAAGTTGTGGGAGTGGTAGTGAGCACACAGTACCTGGAGGCATTCAAGCAGCAGCAGCTAAGCAGAAGTGTGCAGCAGCTAGGAGCCCCTGAGATCCCCAATCAGCCTCTGCCTTTTGGCTGCCACCCAGCCACTGCTCAGCCCAGCCTGTGCCCAGAGCCC